CACCACAAAAGCAAATGCATATATGTATGGGTGTTGTAATATGTGTAAGTTCGTTAATATTAGTAAAAATTGAAATAAGCTGTACGTCAACTTCATTTAGACTCAAAAATTAAGTACTTCACATATACGTAGCTTAATGCTTTTAGGTTTCTGAAAGAGTTGCCATCTCCTTGCGAAATATGTTTTTTTTTTGGAAAATATGAAGTTATGACGCTGAAGAAGTTTTGGAATAAACTTAAGGGGTTACATGGATTTCTTCGGGTAAAAACAGTATTTTCTCAACAATTTTTTTCTCATACAAAAAATGAAATATTTTATTAGAATCTTTTATTATTAAAAACATACACTATTAACAAGACAATTCTAATATTTTGCCAACCGACTTCAAAAACATATTGTACACTTAGCTTAGCTAGCCTCGAGCACACAAGTTCTCAGGGTTGTATTTCCGAAACTATTACTCAGATGAATTTTAAAATTTAGGACAATATTTTAGAAATGCGTAGAATTCAATAAGATAATAAAAAAAATAGATTTTTTAAAATATTTGTTTTATATTCTTTGAGAAAATTATCTTTCGAAATATTCTTCAATCTCAGCGGAGATATTATTATAGAATTATTTACTTTTACCCAAAACGATAACCTATGTACTGTTATGGCAAAATATACAATTTTTAAAATTTTCATAGAATATTGTATATTTAGAGATCAAGATGCTTTTAACAACAACGCAGGAGAATTTAAAATTTAAAATGTTCTGTTTCGAGAATATAAATACAAGAAAGATATAGTAGATTTGATTGATTTATTTTGTTTCAGTGTTTAGCTTAATACATTTAACAAACAATTAACCAATTTAAGGTAGGAACACAAAAAATATTTTTAACCGTTGCTTTAAGATACTTTCACATTTTCGCAAGTAATTAACATTCTTCTTAAGCTTATATATAGGTAAAATTATCCTTCTCTTCCACCTCAAATGAATCTACAAAATTGTACGACAGAACTTCGGGACCGCTTCGGCTGCATACAAAATAAAATAGTATAAAAGCTATGAAAGATCTTTTGATTTTGATTGCTCAGTTTAAAAGGCAGCTATCACCTCTGGATGTCCGGTCTGTACAGCTGGTTAGGTTAGGTTAGCTTGATAGGCCAATAAGCCACGCATAGACCAGTTTAGCACCTTTTGGATACCTGATAGAGTTCAGTTACTAGGTTCAAAAGGAGTAGTCATCATTTAGAATGCTTGCGCTTGACCCGAATTTCAACAGACACTGTGGCCATACTATCATACCGTGGGGCCCCCCGATATTTACAGCGGAACAAGTGCACAAGAGATGCCCCATTGTTTCGCTGGTGCCTTGTTGCAGAAGTTTCTTACAGTCTTTCCGAGTGATCATGTTCCTACAGTCTCTCCTATCGAGTGGCAATAGGAAGTTTGTGTACTTCCGATCTACTCTTTTACACATGACTTTTGCAGTTTTCTACCCAGGTATCTCATTTCATCGGGCTTTGATTTTCCTTACCAAGCTTCTGTTCAGATTGTCATAAAGTTTTTTCCAATGTTGATCATATTTTCGGGTGTTAGTCGTACACCATTTTGGGCAATTTTGTCCACTTTTTCATTGCTTGCGATGTGTTGACTCTGGAATTGCCTGCAGGTGCTTTAGAGGCCAGCCCCGCAGCTTTGATACAAAATCCTTCTTTTATTGAAATTTAGTGTTCGTTAATGGTTTTTAAACTCATATGAAAAATAATTTTCAATAAAAATTCTAAATTTTATATTTTCCCAATAATAAGTTCGCTTATAACAGATGTAAGCTTACTTCAGCCTCTATGGTAGTTTTTATTGCGAGGATTTGGTGTTGTCAAATTCACTTTGACTGCTGGACTTCACAATCGTAATTTTTGCTAACTATTTGCTCATTATTGCTAAGTACATACACTACTACAATCAATAAATAAATAAAATGTTCTATTTCAACTATATTTATTTAGACTTTATTCTCAGTTTGTAGTCATGTCTAACAACTAATGGCTATGTTCAGTCGACCTTCTCTAATAGGCGTAGGAGATGAGTGGCGATGCGAATTGGGTCTTCACTACAGCTGGTCCGGCGACGAGGGGAGCTGAAGCTGGAGCGGCGAAAGCAGCGGCAACTGGAGCAGGGGCAGCGACTAC